GCAGAGCACCAGCAACAGAAAATCTCCGCTGACCCGCGGCTGGCTACGGGTTGCCTGGCTTAGTAGGCCATTCGACTGCTGATGGCGGGTAGGGGTGCCTTGTGCCAGGGTCAGAAGCTGGGCGAGCACAGGGCTGGTGCGGGCGTGGATGCACCGCCAGACGGTGATCAATATGTTATGCCTGTAGAGCTCGCTGACACGGTACATGGAGTGTGCAGTGAGCAGCGGCTGCATGGCTGTCCGGAGTGGGTTGCCATCGATACAGCGGATGGCTCTGTTTTGCGCGGTTTGCAGTCGTTTCCGTTGACCCTCTCGCATTGCGGCTGAAAGGCAGCAGGAGCCATAAAGCAGGTCGGGCATCATGACCGCCTTCACATACACCTGACGAGAGCGTCTTGATAGGCTTCGGCGTGCCCGCCACAGGGCGCCAATTTTCTTGGCAACCTTGGTGACCACATAGTTTACATGAGTGTCCCAATCTAGGCGATTGTCAAGGTGAACGTCGAGGTAGCGCGCAGAAGACGCTGAAGGGAGGAGACAGTCGCCGCTTGTGACTGTTAATTCCTGTACATGCTGCTGGGGAGAGATAGTCAGAACCTGGATCTTGGCGGCGTTCAAGATGAGGCCTCGGGACTTCAGCCAATCGGCCAGAGCAGTTGCCGCTGTGGTGAGGGTTCTGAACGCTTCCGCCGCTGAGGCCTGAGAGTCGTACAGGGCTATGTCATCTGCAAATTATACACTTGGCATAGGCGAGGAAACCAAAGGGACATCTCGTGTGTATATTATACTGCTGTACAATTCAGGCACCTGGGGCCTGAAGGTTGCTAGCGAACGCTCCCTGGACGCTTTCCATAGAAGGCAGCTCAGGTCACTTCTCGGCATCACATGGCCACAGAAAATTATTAATTTGGCTTTGTATGCCCGATGCGGAGCGGAGCCAGTGTCACACTTGATCCAAAATTCACGCTGGAGCCTATTCGGGCATGTGCTTCGCCTGGGTAAGGACACGCCAGCACGATTGAGCATGGAACAATACTTTCAGGCACCCGGGGGGAGGTACCGTGGGAGGCCGAGGGTGACACTGCCAATAAAGCTCCACACCGATCTGTCCCAGTCGGACAATGGGCAGCTGCGGAGTGCCGAGGACTTGCGCCGTCTGGAGCGGATTGCTGCGGACCGTCCAGCATGGAACGCGCTGGTGAAGAGTGTTTGTGCACACCCTCGTCACGAGTAGAAACAGTCATGGCACCCTTATAAACTCATAACAACCATTCTATAAAAATTACTATTTGAATCTTTTAATAACTATCTGGAAACTCAACCTCGTACATTATAATTATCTCGCCACCCATTGACCATGATGCTATATGAAGAGACAATAATGATGACGTTTTCCCCAATGACACCAATTTTATGACGCTCCATGTTACTCTATGTTACTGAAGTACTAACTTTGGTCATAGGTTTGTAGAGCCCCATTC